TGTCTCTGTCATCCACCCTTGCTTCTTCCAGTCACTCAACCTCGCAGCAGCCAAAGTTCCCTTTTAAAAATGCAGATCTGATTGCATTCCCTTGGTTAACACACATCAGTGGTTTTCCACTAGTCTCAGGATAAGATTTAAGAATCCTTAACTTGGCCTGTGAAGCCCTACAGGACTGTGCCCTGGCCTCCCCGCCTGGCATCTCTGTGCCCCTCCCTCCCAGTCCTTCAGCTGGAATCCCCAGCAGGCCTCCCAGCCAGGCTGGGCTGCTTTCTCTACCCTGCACCCTCCCCAAGTTCGTTCCTTAGCCCGCCATTCCCCTCTACCACAGCAGCCTGGCAATGACAATGAATGGCTATGTGGGTGACTATTGGCCCAGTGCCTGTTTCCCTCACAGATCTGGTGAGCCCCAGGGCAGACTGTTTTCCTAGTGTCCAGCATAGTGGAGGTATGAATTCATGAAATTTGTCGAATGACTGCCTACAGGAATAGGAAAAAGATTTTAATTCTACTGTGCCCTTTTTAAAAAAGCATTGAACCCAGTGTCCTTGAAAGCCCAGCCACTCACCATAAAAAGTTAGAGGCTTTTAGGGAATTCACACACATTGAGACTGCTAGGCTCTCATTTTTTATATTAGTGCTTCACTATGACTGGCCAATAAGATACTGGTGGTTATTTCTCTAAAATTTTTTTTCAGGCAATAGAACCAAAGCAGTTATAATATCTTTTAGGTAGAACTGGCTATTTCTATAACTGGCCAATGTCATGACGGTCTTGAAGGACACTAAATGAGACGCAGGTGGCTTGAAAAACTTAACACAATTCTCTGAAGAATAAAACTTACCACCATCGAGCAGTTTGGTGCCCGTGGGGTCAATTTGATTATTCCTGTGACTTAAAGATATTCTCCTCCAGATGAAGGCATAGAATGCTCTCAGCAAGTTGAAAAAAATATGTATAAATCACTGAAATCATTCTCAAACTCTTGAGCACAGTTAAGCATCACCACAAATCTTCTGGCCAAGGTTCTGTCTGAAAAGATGACCAGGGTAAATGCCCTACTGATTCTTGGACTCCTCTCCTGCATCCTGCCCCTGATTCTTGGACCCTAACTCTGTGATGGAGAATAAAACAAGAGGGATTTTGTGTAGGCCAAGTGATAGAAATTTTTATTGAACTAAATAAAAATAAAAGAGGCCTTCTTTGTACTTTCCTCACTATTGATGGACTCATTCACCTTAGCTAGGTTTAATCAATTTCCTGGAACTTCGTTATAAATTGTACTTTATCAGTGGTCAAAAGCTGAAAGTCTTGTACCCAACATTTCACTGGTCCAAAGCCACGTCCTTTTCATGTAGCTGATAAATAACTACATTCAGTGTATGAAGTCCTTCTAAGAATATACAGATACTGATTTAGACCCTACCCAAATCCACATGGTTATCCATAAATAGCAACGGACATGCAGGACTTCCTTAGAAACCAAGCCTCTGGTAGGAGGTGACATCTGAGATCGCCAGGGAAGACAAAGGCTACAACCTACACAGCCCTGCGTCACCAAAGGGGCATCTGACGGGCCTTTATTTGAGAATGGGAATGGTTTTCCCAGGATGCCTACAAAAGCCCACCTGACCCACAAGGAAGCTAAATTTGCAAGTCTAACTGTGGGCTTTAACTACCTCCATGTGCCACGGTAGGTCAAGTTCCTACTCTGGACACAGCAAACACAAGTCTTCACCATGGGCCAGAGCTGCAGACATGGGTGGGGATCCAGCAGGGGCAGGATGCGGGAGAGGGGTCCCTGGTGACAGAGACGGTTATTACTTAAACGTTCAAAAATTATAGCCATCTGAGTGTTCAGTATTTCTATTTCTTCTCAGTGGGCAATAGGACCAAAATGAAGGATCAATAGATAAAGTGGTATAATCTCTTAATATCCCGTGGTCGCAAGTGACCGATGGGAAGCCAGGGCTCATGCACATTGGTGCATAAATGAAGTGTCCTTCGGCACACTGTTATCTTCAGCGCAAGTGGGGACTCAGAGGGCATTTCCCCGTGGATGCGTGTGCCTCGCTGAGTCTGAACTCTAACTCGCCTCCAAGATAGAGGTTCCAGAAAGTGTCACAGAAGAAGAGACACAAGGAGGCCTTGGCGGTAGCTCTGATGGGGAGCATGAGAGCCAGAATCCATGTCAAAGGAGAGCACCTGCTGGGCACAGCTTCTTTGCCCTTGCTCAAAAATCCTTAAGTTCTCAGAGGAAAAGACCACAAAAGCAGAGGCCAGGTAGAGAATATGGGAAAACATGACTGGCTTATCAGCTGAGAGGCAGGATGGAGGCAGTGACAGTGCTTGGGCTCTGGATTCCAATCCCCTGGGCTTGAAACCTGTTTTTTCCCTAAGCTGTGTGACCTATAGCAAGTTATTAACCTCTCTGAGACTCGGCTGCATTATTTTGAGACTGTGGGTTATTGTGAGGATCAAATGAGATGATTCAGGTAAAGTGTGGAACAGAGTACCTGTCGTAGGGTAAATGCTTTGGAAAGTGTTAGAAATTGTTATTTTAGCAACTTGAGAAAATATATAAAGCCCAAATAAATCGTATCAGGTAAGAAGGGACAAAAATATAGATTAAAACGAAAAAAAAACAAAACAAAACAAGACAATACAATGCATCCTCTGAAAAGACTGCATCAACTGAGGATCTAAGCTCAAGGGCCAAAAGTACATGTGTGCATACATGGGCATATTTGCATTCTTGAGTATTTGAAATGTTCTGTGGGGTGACAGTGGGGATTTTCTAGGGTTTACATGGTAAGCGCCTTTAGCTTGAAAGTAAGGGTAACAAATTGCTAGGCAAGGAGCCGACTAACTAAGGCAAATGGTCAAGGTTTGCAGGGTGTGAGGCTCCAGGGAGGTGGCGGCCTTTGGAAATACTCTTGGAAGGAACAAACCACAAGCAACGAAGCAGGAAAGGCAGGATGTGGGGGGCAGAGCCTGATAGGACACTGCTTAGGTGAGGGGAGAGGTGTGACCAAAGTCTAAAGGAATAAACATGGGGTCCAGCAGGTGGAGGCATCTGGTTCTCAGGAGAACTAGAGGAAATGGCACAGCTCTGCGTCAAGGGCTCGTACAAGAGGCCCCAACTGGCCCCAACTGGCCTGGCTGGGCTGCAGAGGACACCAGGGTGCAGCTGCCAGGAATTTCAATTTGTGCCCAGGAGAGGAACCAGAGGTGGGGTGGGCATGTGCAGTTCAAGGCTTTGATTACTTATCTATACTTCCCTTCTCGGGCCTTGTGTGGACATTGAGATCAGAGAGACCTGGGTGCGAACACTGTGCACTTACTGGTCCTGGGATATGGGAATAATTACTTCCCCTCCCTGAACTTCAGTTTCCTATGTGTTAAGCGGGGTTTGTATGCATTCTGCATGAGGTGCAATGGCTGTATGCAAAGAGAGAATGATAGTAGATGAGATCATGGATATAAGCAAAGAACCTCACCCAGGAGCTGGTGCACAGAAGTCACTTAATAATTGCAACTGTTGGGGCACCTGGGTGGCTCAGTCAGTTAATTGGCTGCCTTCAGCTCAGGTCATGATCCCAGGGTCCTGGGATCGAGACCCGCATCAGGCTCCCTGCTTCTCCCACTGCCTGCCGCTCCCCCTGCTTGTGCTCTCTCTGTCTCTTCCCCTCTCTCTCTGACAAATAAATAAATAAAATCTTAAAAAAAAAAAAATGCAACTGTTGGGTCTTGTTGTTGCTGGTCTGCCTATGAGGACATATGAGGTTGATGGGATTTTACTGCACACTGGAACGGAGGCCCTCACTGATTTCAACCAGGGATGCTGGACCTGGATGGGCCAATTGAAAAGCAATCTGCTCTTGGTGCCCGCAATCCGCCAGCTTCGAACTGCAGCGGCACCTGACAAAGCAAGTGAATTGCTGTAAACCAGTAATGAGGAGCAAGATGGCGTCTGGGAACCCCGTAAAATGGCTACCCCATTCCGATACAGTTGGTTAACCTCTCATCTGCCATCTGGCTTTCCCAATGGCTATGCTCTCAGCTGCTTCATTGTCTAGAGGCTTTGATTTATCCGACAAAGGGAGGTGGCCACAAGGCCACAAGGGTGAGGGCCTCACCGGGGACAAGCCACGCGGGAAAGTGTGGCTAGTGCTACGGTTGCCCACACAGATGGCCACAGTGCCCGCCGGTGAAGGCCAGAGTGGCCCTCCAGCTGGAGGACAGGCCCTGGATACTAAAGGGTGTGTGGAAGGTCTTGGGCCAAGCTTTCCCCAGTGTTCAGAGGAGTAGCTAAGGCAGACCCTGCTTTTCCATACTTGACATTTCACCTGCCTGCCTAGTCACTGCGGTCTAGTTAGCACCTACATAGGCCCTCTCAGTCACGGACTCGTTTATTCCTATATGGGTTCGTTCATTCCACGAATATCCACGAGGCATCTACTGTGTGCCTGGCCCTGTTCTAGGCGCTAGAGATACATGGTGGAGAGATACATCAGGGATGAAAGAGACAAAACCCTCTGTCCTCAGGAGCTCACACTGCAGCGTAAAACCCAGGAAGGTACATAGAGAGTGTGTGTGAAGATGGAAAGAGCTATGTAAAAATAATAAAGCGGGGAAGGGCAACAGGATGAGCTAGAAGGAGAGGGTGCAATTCGAAGAAAGGTGGTCAAGGAGGCTGCACGGAGGAGGTGGTATCTGAGTAAGACTTGAAGGGGTGAAGGCCTTTACCTGCTTTTCCGAGGTGACCACACCAAGGTCACGTCACACCAAGGTCACACGGCCACCCCCTGCCTAGCAAGGGAAGTCCTTTGCTTGTGAGAGCGCCCAGGCCTCATCCCGTTTCGCAAGCTCAGGTGTGTGCTCCCAGTGCGCCACGAGTCCCACAAGGGTGGGAGCCCGGCACAACGCCGCACCCCCAGGAAGCCCTGTGGCTGAGAGGTGCGCGCGCGCGCGCACGGCAGCCCCAGCGGACCCTCACCTCCTCCAGCCGCCGCCGCTGCTCCTTCTGCTCCTCTATGCGCTTCTGGCGCTCGGCCAGCAGCTGCCGCTTGTGCTCCTCGTTCTCCCGCTGCTGCTGCTCCAGCTGCTGCCGCCGCAGGGCCTCCGAACGCTCCTTGTTGGCCAGCTGGAGCCTCAGGAAGTCCCGCCGCAGCGTGGACTCCCCTGGCAGGTTCAGGATGGAGCTGCGGGCAGGAGAGAGAGAGACGGGGAGGCTGCGTGTGGCGAGGGCCGCCCTCACCCCGGCGCTGGGGGAGGCCGGCGGGGCCAGCAGCTCGCCTGCGCGCGGGGACGCGAGCCACACGGGCCGGCCACGGGCTCTCGGGCCCCTGCTACTTACAGTACTCAGCCCCAGAGAAACGGAGTCACGGGCACCACAGACCAGTGTGCAGCCTCCTTTTCACGGTGGCCATGGGCAGGCGCATGCTGTCACCATCCCGAGAGAGAGGTCCCCCTCTCTCCAGCACCGTCCTCACTGCTCCCTTGCCCTGGTGACCCGCAAAGATCTGCTTCTAAAGGTTTTAGGGAGCGTGTGAGCCCTAGGGCCTGGATCAGCTGAATTTTCACGTTTAAGAGAGGCATGAACAAAGCCAGCAAATGAAAGGAACAACCAGGAGCAACAAGGGACCGTGTTCTACTAAGAGGACATCACCGTCCCCGCACCACCTCCGCGACGCCTTGCACCCACACCCAGGAGGCAAATGGCAGGCTGCTCGTGTGAAGACGTGATAAGCCAGGGAGGGAAAACATCAGAGTCAGGGTCACCACAGAGTAGAATATGAACCCACATCTGAGAGTTCAGGGCTTGTTTCATTGCACCACGGTTAAAGGGAAGTGACATGGTTTGGCTCTGGAACGGATGGTGTAGCAAGGACTTCAATCCAGCTCACGGATCCCTAGATTCCGTTGAAGCACCGTGGCCTCAGTTTTCTCATCTGTAAAATGGTAGTTGTGCATCATGTGCATATGTGTGTGTCCCTGGTGGTCTAGGGCTGCTCTATTCACATCTCACTGCATGTGAACAGCTCAAAGTTACACTCTTTGGTTGTGCATAGCAGCCTAACAGGGAGGTGGGGCAGGCTCCTATTTGTTCACACAAACCTAGCCCTTTTAATCTTGCTGGCGACTTCCACTTGAAATAAATCCATTAAATAACTAATGAGCCACTTTTAGGTCGCAGGCACTGTAAGAGGTTCTAGTGGATAGAGCAGTAGCTAAACAAACTCTCTCTCTCATGATCTTCTTGCGGGGAAGAGAGACAGACAAATCATTAGACAGACAAATGGCTGCAAATAACATAATTTCACATATGAACAGGCTCCATAGAAGACGTAACAGTTTAAGAGTGACAGTGGTAGGAGGCTGGGACGGGGATTAAGGGTTCTGCTTCAGATGGGGTGATCAGGGGAGACCTCTCTGAGAAGGTGCCAGATGAGCTGAGACTCAAATGATGAAGAGTCGGTCCCACGAAGAAGTAGGCGAAGAACCTTTCAGGCAGAGAGGAAAGCAAACGTAGAGGCCTGTGGTGGGAACAGGTGGGGCCTCTCCGAGGACTTCCCAGAGCAGAGTGAAGGAGAGAGGTGGCCCCGGGAGGAGGCCAGGGACACTGGGCAGACCCGGGGAGGCACGGGGCATGGAAACCACACACGGAAAGCTTATAGTCAGGACACTGATGTGATGGGATTTGTTTGGCTGCCGAGGGACAACTGTCTGCAGAGGGCCACCAGCTGGGTGGGGAGGGGCAAGGGGACGGAGGCGGAGAGAAGCATTGGTGGCAGAGTTAACGAAGCCGGTTGATGGATGCGGTGTGTGGAGTGAGCGATGACTTGCAGGTTTTGTCTTGGCACCTGGACAGTGGTGGTGACGCCAACTGGGGTGGCAAATGGTGGGGGGAGCAGGTTTGGTGGCAGTTGACGAGGGGATTATTCTGTGTTGGACAGTGTAACCATTGTGCAGTGTGACTGGCATCTATGCCCAAAAATGACATAAAAAGGCTTCATTCTTGAGGTCTTACAGACAGTGCTTGGATGCCACGAGCACACCTCCTCTAAAACTTAACAGCTTTTGTGCAGAACACTAAAACAAGCCCCAAGTGACAGTGCTTATGTACACAGGCCACAAGCAGGACTTGGGGAACCATGCACACGAGGAGCCTCCATTAATACAAATTGATGCAGAATCAATGTCAGGCGAGTAGAGCTGTAATAGTGGCTCAATCATCGTTGGTGTGGGGCTTGGGTGCCATCTTTGGGCTCTCACCCCATTTCTCAAATGAGATAACCACTGTCCCTTTCCACTTTTCAGGATTTCATGAAGATTAATTACATGGGTCCATAAGATAGGACTTGGAACTTAATCTTCAATGTGATACAATGACACGTTACAATTATCAAAGTGTTAAGGCATGGCTAGGTCAGCCTGCTAAGTTGACTCCTAACACACAGTTTGGCAAGTACTAGTTAAAACAGGTCTTCTCAGTTCTATAGAGAGTGATCAGTAGGGCTGACATGACATCTGGGTGAGCTTTGGAAAAAGAAGAATAGTACGCAACTTCTCTGAGAGCAGGCACTTGGTTCTTTGCCTTTATAAGAATGTTCATTTTCCACGTCACTACTTGACAAACATCATCTTTACGCAGCTAAACTGGGGGCAGCCAATGTGTAAAGTATCGGATAGAAGGAAAAATTCTCCTTCAGTCTTTGACCTTGATAATTCCTGTATCAGGTGTAGAGAAAAACTGGACGGCCCTGTAAGTCCCTCCTTCTTCCAGTAGTTTAGCAGTAATCCAGCTTCATAGATCTAACTCAGAAAAAGAAGCCACCAGCTTGTTCTAGCAGCAACGACAGAGCTGGCCCCTTTCCTGAGCGGGCAGCTGTGCCTCAGCAGTATGGGAATTTCTCCTCCTGGACCACTGGAGTCCCCCCCTTGGATGGCTAGAGGATGGGGACTCATTTCCCCAGTGAGCCTCCTGCCAGTGCATTTTCCCCAATAAATCTCACTTCACCTACACCGACCATGATGTTTGTGCCTGTGCGACTCAACTCACCAAACTGCCACCAGCTGAATCCTCTCATGGGAGAGAAATCTTGGCAATGTGAGCACACTAAGCTTAATTATTGATACACAGACTGGAAGAAGTGGGAATCAATGTCAAGTGAAATTCAAAACGCACGGATCATAACGATAAAGCAACACTGATCCTGGAGTCCAACATGTGACAACTGGAATGAGCAAGAAAGTTTCTATTTAGGGTTCCCCTCTAGAGTGTGATTTGATTTCCTGGAAACCATTTCCTCTTGGATTAGCTTGTGGTGAAAATACCAAGACATGTGACAAGGACGGTGGCTGCCCAAATGGGCTTCTCAAAGGTATGAAGTAACAAACTGAGTAATTCGAGTCCAAAAATACCACTTAGGTCTCCTGAAAGTCATAGTTTTAGGTCCTTTGAGTCTTGCATTACCCAGATAATTGACTCCTACCCATTCCACACGTTACATATGTGAGGAAACAAGGTCTTAGAATAGAGACCATAAATCTTAGGGGACAAGATAAAGAATACGCTGATTTCCACATTTTTGTAAGAGTTTGCCTGGGGACATTTTCCCAAATTAATGAGTATGTTCATGGGCAATAAATTAAATAAGACCACCTTGCTGGATTCTTAAAACTGAACCTATAAATCAAAAGGAAGTGAGTTTCACACAAGCACAATTCAGAACGTGAAAATAAGACTTGGCCTTTGTTCTCCTACCTGGGCTCTCCTGAGTCATTCTCCTCCTCTTCTTCCTCACTTCCGCTGTACTCATACTCGGTCTCATCTAAAGAGAGATTCACAGAATGTTAGTGCACAAAAAGATGCTACAGCTCAGCCAATCCCACCCCCCTCATTTTATATATAAGTAATCTGAGGCCCAAAGAGTTGTCATTAATGCTGACCTGGGACAGGCTCCAGGCCTCCTGACTTGTGATCTAACAGTTCCCACCAGCTGAGCTGGTGGAATTCACATCCAAGACTGTTCCAGCTGACTCTAGGTATCTGTCCCTAATGCCTGCTGTTCAATGACAAGGAACTGAAAAATAATTGTTCAGTTTGTGTTAACTCCCATTAGAGGACCACCTAAACCAATCTTTATTGGCCCACTATTCACTTATTGTCCGTATTAATCATTTTTTAAGTAAGAGTTTTATTATGACTTACATGGACCCACAAATTGTCTTTAGATATCTCGATAAACACCAGAAAGAAATTTGACAGCACGTGCTATTAGAAATATAGAGTTAAATGACCCACCGGGGACATTCATTTAATTCAGTAATATGTTAAGCAAGTTAACATGTAATAATGAATAAGATTGAGTCTTTGCTTTGGAGGAGATCAGAATCTAATGGGCGAGATGGACAAGTAGGTAATCAGATCTGCCATGATTATTAAGAAATTAATCTTTATTGGGTGTCTCCCATGCTAGTCACCCTGCTAGATACTTTACTTATGTTCTCCCATTTATTTTGCTTAACAATCCTTTAACATACTACCCACTTTTCAAGCGAAGACACTATTACAAGAGGGTAAGTGACAGGACCAGTGACTTACTAATAAAAGACCGATCAATCTGGGATTTGGATTTAGAATTCCATCCAGAACTTCTCCAACTTTAAAACTATGTTCTTTCCAACATATTATATGCTAAATAGAAATGCATAAAAAGAGCAATGGGATAACAGAGAAAGGAGCAAAGTCCATTGGTCATAATGGGGGAAGGGGCCAGCAAAGTCTTTTGAGGAGGAAATGAGCTGGGCCTTACAATGTCAGTGGCCCTGCTCCAGGCAGATGGCAGCTGAAAGTGGTGGGAAAGGGCATTCTAAGCAACATAACCACGTGAGTAAGGCTGACAGTAGTACACAAGATGTTCACAATGAATTGTGAATGGCTAGATGTCTGGCTGTGAGAAAAGCAGACAGAATGAGTAAGCCTAGCACGTCTGATACGACTTCCTAATCCTTATATACACCTTCCTGAGGACTTTTCTGTGGGCAATGGGGAGTTTTGGAAGAGCTTTTAATTTCAGGCAAGGGAGGGTCACATTACTGTGATCCTTTCATAGCTGTGGGTTAATAATTACAACTTTGAAGGCATTTGTGTAGCCTTAAAAAGGAACCAAAACTGCAATTTGGTTGTGTTACCACCAGGAGGCAGCACCTACGACAAGAACTAAACACTCCGCCTTCCCTACTCTTCAGCCAGTAAAGGGATAATGAAAAGGGATTGAGGAGGGCAGGTGTTGTGATGAGCACTGGGTGTTATACTTAACTAATGAATCATTGAACGCTACATCAAAAACTAATGATGTACTATACAGTGGCTAACTGAGCATAATAAAAAAAAAGAAAAGGAGCCAAAAGCACAGTGACTTCAAGTATATATTTTTTTAAATCACAAGTTAGCTTCAAATATTTAGATATGCACAAAGCTTTTGGGCTATTTATTTTTTGAGTATTATTTCACCAAAATGTAAAGGACCTTCATAAAGTGTTTCACTATTCCACACTGAAAGTTGACTATTCCAAACTTTCCTGAAATGAATCAACAGGGAGTTTGAAGTAAACTGCAGAAATTTTATCTAGCAAAGGGAAATTCTAGCAAGGGAAAGAAGCACACAATTAATCCAAATATTTGTACTCTCTAGGGTGAAACCTTCATTTGTCAGGCCCTTCAATTGTAATACTGCACCAGAATCTGGTCTTATTGCTTTTATATTACTGGCATAAATTAGCATATGTCAACATATCTTTTTTTTTTTTTTAAGATTTTATTTATTTATTTGAGAGAGAGAATGAGATAGAGAGAGCATGAGAGGGGGGAAGGGTCGGGGGAGAAGCGGACTCCCTGCTGAGCAGGGAGCCCGATGTGGGACTCGATCCCGGGACTCCAGGATCATGACCCGAGCCTAAGGCAGTCGCTCAACCAACTGAGCCACCCAGGTGCCCCCATATGTCAACATATCTTAAGGAAAAAATAGTATCAAGTTAAAAAAATCATAAATCGATTCTCATTAAAATTGTTTGAGTGTACCAAAAGCTGGTCCTAGAGCTACTAAGAGAGTGTGAAAGTCCTAGAGGAAGTCAATTAAGTCATTTGATGAAACTGAGCAAATGGATGAGACCTCGCTTGATCGATACTCTTTCTGGGGAGCAAAGAAGAAGGCTTCTGATGGCTCTAAACCTAAACAGAATTAGGTTCCTTACATTACCAGGTCACTCTTGAGTTCATCTCCTACCAAGGATCTTACACTTCTACTGTGCAGAGAAGGAACACATTAAAAATAGTCTATTGTCATAGAATGGGGAGTTCTGAGTCACATTCCAGCATCTGTGCCCCCAAAATGTGAAAACAACCCAAGGCCCAAGCTTTACCCATTCTATTCACAGGTCAAAGGCAAAGAGGTCACGAGTTCTCAGAAAGTAACTCTGAATCGTGTTGAAAAACTGTAAGTCAATAAAGAACTTTTTATATAAAAATAGCTAATATTTATTGAGTATGTTTATATGCCGGACATTGTATTAGACATTTTAATGCCTTATCTCATTTAATTTGCAACAATACCAGGCGATACGGATTACTATCATATCCCCTCTCTTATTTTAAAGATGAGAAAACTGGGATGAAGTTCATGTACCTATTCAGGGGGTAGAGCTAGAATGGGAACTCAGAATTTGAATCTGGAAGCAACAGGCCCACAGAAAAAGAAACTTCCCTTTTAGAGAAGGCAGCCTTTAATGGTTGCGTGTTTGATGAAAAATCAGTCCTGGATTTTTTTTTTTTGGAGGGGTGAGAGGAGCAGGGACAGAAGGAGAGGGAGAGAGAGAGTCTCAAGCAGATTCCACGCTCAGCACTCAGCATGAAGCTCAACACAGGGCTCGATCTCATGACCCTGAGATCATGACCTGAGCTGAAATCAAGAGCCGGACGCTTAGCTGACCGAGCCCCCCAGGCACCCCACTCCTGGAACTTTTTGATCTTGACTTACCTATTTCTCTCATGCCTGGTTCTTTCTGGTTCCTTCAATTCCCCTCCCAGCATCACCTGACAGACACCTCATCCCTCTCCACCCACGAATAACTGGAGATGGTCCTCCTTTTTTTTTTGTTCAGGATTTTTATTTATATATTTATTTTCCAGGGCTGTAAAAATTTTATGTTCAATCAAAATAGGCAATGAAACTTCATTTCCTATTTAGCACATGAAGTAAAAATAGTTTGATCCCCAAACATTTAAAAGTGTATCTTTTATTTTAAATTGAAGTATAGTTGACATACACTATTTTGTTAGTTCAGGTGATGGACCTCCTTTTTGGCTTAGCCTCATAACCTCCTACTCCTGAGTCGAACCGATCGCACATTTCCCTGAGTTCCCGAGGCTGGCAGCCAGGAAGAAACTCTTCCCTTGAACCTTCACTGAGGTTTTCTCCTCCTGCCCAACCCCCTGCTGACCTTACCTCTGCCCAGTCTTGACTCACACTGCTCACCGCCCACCCCACATACCTGCTCATACCTTGCCACATTACAGACAGTAACTGCAGAAGCAAAGAAGGGGAATTCAAATAGAAGGAGAGTGCCCTCTGTCCTGTGCTGCCCACCACCCTCCAATGCGCCATCTGGCTTGGAAAGAACAGAGGAGAACGGTGTCCAGGACAGAAGCGAGGAAAAGCACAAGGCCATGTGCCTCGCACCCTTGCTGCCTGGCCTTCCCCTTTACTCTCCACTCCACACATGCTCAGTGGTCACCTCTCCAGCCCTATAATGCCTCCTCACTGTCATCCCTCCTCCCCCCTACCCCGCTGCTCCTCCTGCCTCCAACCAGGGAGGACTCACCCTGTCTGTCCTCTGGATCTTTCCCTTTCCTCCCCATACCTCAACCTTCCGTACCTCCCACCCACCTAGGCACAAAACCTGCCCCAGACCACGTGAGTTTTCTCCTTGGTCAGGATGCTAGATAAGGAGGTCAAACAACCAGGATACAGTCCCAGGGCTCCAAGTTTGCCTCATGTCCTTTCCACTGATGCACGGAAAAGGTAGTATGGTACAATAGCTAGAGCCATAAGAGATAAGATTTTGACTCTCTAAAATAAAGTAGTGCATTAAATGATCTTCCAGCTCAAAGTTCAATGTTCCATATATCAAGCCTGGCGATGCTGTGACTATAAGAAAATTCATTCTGACTTCTGAAATAAATTCAAAATGAGCCTCAGAGCACAAAAACTTAAATGTTGAAGACTGCCAGGATAGAAAAATGTCAACTAAGTGGTTTTTTTTTGTTGTCTTTTTTTTAGGTTGTCTTCTGTCGGTTTTTAGTCTTCAAAACATGAATATTCATTTGAACTAAGAAAATCACTTGTCATATTAAACCATTTCATAGTATTACTCAACATGACTTTTTGTCAGTGCCTGGAAAAGGTAATATTCCTTACAGTTCTATCCTGTCATGAAGATTCCATTTCAGAGTCTCACTCCATTGATGCCTACAGGCTGCGAGCTCAGAGGCAGCCCTTCACACTAAAGAATAATGCAGGCCCATCTGAAACCCCCACGGCCACCTCCAAATATATCAAGAGCCCATGACCCACTCCATCTTTTGTTTCCTTTGCTGAAATACAAATGTGCTTCTAACCTTTCTCTCCTCGCTTCTTCTTTGTTCTGTCGATATGGTCCTTGAGTTGAATGCGGACCTGTCGTTCATTAGGTTGGTCTCGTATAAATGGATGCTTCATCAATTGTTCTGTTGCTGGTCGCTGGCTGTGATTCTTTACCAAGCAGCTCTCAATAAATGACTGGAATTTTTTTGACCTGCCACATGAAAGAGATGAACCCACAGATAAAAACACAATCCAAAGAAAAAGCAAACTTCCATTTTCTAAGACACTACAATGAAAAAAAGGAAGAAAATAGGTGCAATTAGTCAACACAGGGATCAACCAATCACAAAATAGGTCTAGAACTTTATTAGGTACAATGGGGTTCGAAGGCATCATCACCATCAACACACAATTCATGCAATGTATGGGAGTTACACGCATAAAAGCATTTTTGCACAATTTATATGTAATATCACACAAGAGACCAAAAGGAATCAGAGAAGAGAAAGACCTTGGTGAGAGTCACATCTGGAAAGTCCATTGTAATGAGGGTACCTGAGCTGGCCTTTAAAGAATGAAGAGGAAATCACTCTGGGAAGACAGTTCAGGGAGGCAGGAAATAGTGAAAAACTAAGGCTGGGGCTGAGCACACTATACATCGGGGACACTGAGGTAAGCCGTCTAAATGAGGCAGAAAATGAAAGCTGGGGGAGAGCATAATCAGGGTTGGCTAGGTAAGGAGGAGTACGTTTTGTAGAAATGAGAAAGATTCTTACTTGGTAAAGTGAACTTGGTTAGGCAAATTTTTTAACTGGTAATTTCAAAATTACTTTTGAACTTTGCTCTCCAAATAATAAGAACAGGGTGTATGAGTATGTTTGCTATCAACCCAAGGACCTGGAAACTTAGGGACTAAGTTTATACCCAGACGTGCACTTATCTCCCTCTAGAAAGGCACTATTTCCTCAAAGATAAACCCTGTGCCAGAGAGTCACAGGGCAGGAGAGAGCCGGGGAGAGACACCATAGTAATGAGTAGGGGAGCGAGTCCACACTGGTAGAAATTAAAGGTGGACTTTAGCTATGATTCATGAGTTGGGCATGCATGTTTTGGCCCAAGAAATTGCCCAGCATCATAAATAATTATTTCACGACTATATAGCATGCCTTTCTGGTGTGCCCCATTGGCAGCTTGGCACATCACCCTCAGAGACCTTAGGGGAACTCTGGTCACCCTCTTTGCGGTACCCACTCTGCTCAGAGCAGGAGGAAATCCATTTTTGTGCTCTCTGTCGCCCTCCTGTGGAGTGCTGTGGAGTAACAGGAGAGGATCCCACGAGCCAGCTTCCCTGGGTCAGCCAGCAGGCCCCCCTCCACACAGATTTCAGGCTTGAAAGCTGTCTTCATCACACAGAACACAATGGTGAGCATGTTCTTTAAAATTCAAATGCAAGAGGGCACTCAATGTAAGGGGGCACTCACAGATGCACCACTCTCCACTTCAGCCCTGGTCAAAGCAGTTTCTCATCTTATTCCATGTTTTTAAAGGACTGAATCATTCATATCGTTTCCTCCCTAAATTTCTAAGATAAGTTCAAGTTTTCAAATTATTTTACATAGAGGCAGATGTACCCTGCTATGCTGGGGGTCACCCCAGGATCAATCAGGATCGGCCCACCCTGTGGACTGTGGAAAACAGTAATAATAGGGTGGACACTCTGTGCACCTTCTTGCATGTCCTTCAGCCTGTACCCCTGCTTCCTCCACACGGGCGGTCTCCAGTGTCTGGTGTGCCTGAGTCATCTTTGTAGCCAGAGCACCCTACCTGGCCTCAGATGCTTGATGAACGAATGAATGCACGCATGGTTATCAGATGTGAGTTCTGGACAAGTGTGTGAAATGGCTACCTTCCAATGTGTGCTTGTGAGGGACAGACAGGGAGGTTTGGAGAGGAGATAATATTGAATATGCCTTCTTTTTCAGGCCCACCAGACAAATCCATGGAGACACAAATGTGATATCATCTAAGGAGAGACTTTGTGAAAAAAATCCATCATGGAATAATGGGCTGTCCTAAGGAATAAACGGAAGAGAACGAGGTTAACCTGCATAAAGAAATAAACAAGTTCCACATGGCACTTTTCTAGGTAGAAAATCAGTATCAAGAACATGAAAACAAAAACAAATTAAGACAGGGAGCTGTTAAATATTCATGAGAAATGCAAATGAAAGCTGTTTTTTCCTGCTTGCAACTAGAAGGAAGTGCTTTCTTTTTATAAAGTGCTTAACTATTAATTTTAGAAGGTGATAAATAAAAGAAATCACACCCAATTTAAACATGAGATCCAGACTTGATAAACTGTACATTCCATTCCCCAATACTGACATCTAAAAAAAGGCAGTGGCAACTAGGAGGGGAGAGTGTTCAGAGTTCAGCAGAACCAGCTGTGGTACAGAGTTTTCTTTCCACTATCTCTTCCGGTGGGAAGGAACCTTCGGAGATATTCAGGAGAATAACTCGGGGTCCAAAGGTTGGGCCAAGATGTGCAGGACCATAAAGCTGGCAACGTATCTCATGTCTTCTTCAAATGGTACCGTTTGAAGAGAGAATAATGCTCCCTTAAAACAAATCTTCGAAGAAAGATTTATTGTCTCTTATTTAAGTTAGTGCGACCAAGAATCAATATGCTTAATTACATGTTTAATTAAAAGTAAAACCCCTTTCCATATGTTGAACACCACTTGACTGTTTGCTGAGCGGTCTAATGGGTTTAAAGTACATTTATATAACTTTATTGTTTGCATCTCTGCTGCCGGTAATTTAGTTCTGTCTCTTAAAAAAAAAAAATGCCTAAGATCAGTAATACTAATTTCCCCAGGGTTGGCCTGGAGAGATAGATGTTAATGTTTGGTGCTTACAGTTGGAAGCCCCAGTTCTAATACCAGCCTCACCAAACACTTTATCTTCCCAGAAGATAAAATAGCAGGAGGGACTATAAACTTTGGAGTGAAAGCAGAAGGCAGGGGTTCCAGGCTGGATCTAGCAATGAGGAGCCTGGGACCCTGGCTAAGCCAGTTAACCTCAGCAGGCCACTGGTCTTCATCTGGAGCACAAGTGGGTTGGACCAAGGAAACTTGTGTCTCTTTCCACTGAGACGCACTTAAGATTTTTCTTTTTTTTAAAGATTTATTTATGCATTCTATTATTTATTTAATTTTTAAAATTTAAATTCAATTATTTAACATATAATGTATATTGGTTTCAGAGGTAGAGGTCAGTGATTCATCAGACTTTTATAATACCCGGAAGCACTTATGATTTTTCTAATGATCTCAATCAAGCGTTTCTTTGCCTGTTGGAATCTTCACATTTAAAGAGCGTGGGAAAAGAAAAAGACCAACTGTCCTTTACAGGAATGAAGTCCCCCCCGAGTTTCTCCAGAACCTCCTGCAGGAGACTATAGCACTGAGTAGGGCAGGGAAGGGCACCATGTGGGTTAGCCTGGTGATGGGTATTAAAGAGGGCACGTATCGAATGGAGCACTGGGTGTTATACGCAAACAATGAATCATGGAACACTACGTCAAAATAAATAAATAAATAAATAAATAAATAAATAAATAAATAAATAAATAAATATAATAAATGTAAAAAAAGAAAAAATAAAATAAAAATGCTCAAAAAAAAAGAAGTTAAGGTTTGCTTTAATATGCCCTAGTGTTTGGGAGGAAGTGAAATGTCTCTTCCACATGGTGGGAAGAGAAAGGAGAGGAAATGTGCTGAAGGAGATGGTTGACCCATGTGGGTGGAGTCTGGCCATGTTTAGAGACAGGAGGAGGAAACGGGAGTCCCAACTTACTGCGCATTTGCCCACGGTGACATGGAGACAGAGGCCGAGAGCATCCTTGGCCTCTAATTCAGCTGAGGTTAGAATCCTCCCGGAGACCTAATTATTGAATGGCTGGGCCACCTGGGCATTGACTGGAGCCCTGACCACATGACCTCCTTGGCACTGAGGCCGCTCCTCATCTCACTGATGGGGGAGGAAAGGGCCAGGTTCTGGTGAGTGGGGGTGCTTTCCTCCCCCCCCACACCCCCACAACAAAGGGACAAAGAGTAGTGCTGCTGCCTTTCTTTCCCTAATATTAAGGCACAGGAAAAAAATGTTCAACTGAAAGACTAGTACCCCATTCTCTAACACTCAAACCTTGAACTTAAGAGGCCGGATGACCCAGTAGAGAGAATGGGGGTTACAAACTTGGGAAACTAAAAGATCGTACAGACTTGTGCAAGGAACATGACCCACCCAAGCCTCAGTCTTATAGCTACAGAATGAGGACTAAAAGCATCTGCCTGGTGTGGTTGTGGTTAAGATTAAATTTATATCTATATAATAAATATATACACACACACATATAAAACATTACTGAGTCTGCAACATGCGTATGCCTTCTATGTCCTGTATGTTGTAGGTTCAGCAAGTTAGTTGGAAATGGCCCTCAACTGAATGCTTATCATAAAGAGTTCATGGCCTGTTTCTACCACAGTGGTGCCCGCCCTTTGGCATCACTTTGATATATACCCTAAGAACAGTGTAATTCATTCGGCAGAGAATAGCTGGATAGAAAAAGAACATTTTGGAGTTTTGTTTCTTTTGATGGATGCGGAGAGGGATCCTCTCCTTTAAAAAATACAAAGAAAATAAATAAAATATTTCACTTCCTCCCAAACACTAGGGCATATTAAAGCAAACCTTAACTTCTTTTTTTTTGAGCATTTTTATTTTATTTTTTTTACATTTATTATTATTATTATTATTATTTATTTATTTATTTTGATGTAGTGTTCCATGATTCATTGTTTGCGTATAACACCCAGTGCTCCATTCAATATGTGCCCTCTTTAATACCCATCACCAGGCTAACCCATCCCCCCGCCCACCTCCCCTCTAGAACCCTCAGTTTGTTTCTCAGAGTCCATAGTCTCTCATGGTTCGTTTCCCCCTCTGATT